CCATTCTTGCCCACCTCCTGCATCTTCTCCACTCCGTTCATTCTCCTGCATCCGTCCAGAGCCGTATCGCCTAGCCGAGTCGATCTCCGTTGCCTGTATTTCCTTTTTGGGCGGAGCCGCCGACCAACTGTAGCCATGACGCTGTCGTTCTGAAGAATATGCACGAGCGTGTTTCATGGGTGTTCCGCCATCGCTGCGGCCAACAAGCGTCAGGAACAACAAGCTTCGAGTGACATACATCCTAGGCCCATCGGAAGGTCGTGTCTCAAAGGCTTGGTTGCTTTATTGGAAGGAGCGTGGCATGAACGAGAGCTTTGAAGTGCCGTGGGAAAGCCATCGGCTCGTCGTGTTAACACCTCAGGTACTTCTGGTCGAGTTGGGCGGGCAAGTGAGCCCATGGATGGAAATGCGCGATTCATCGGCCGCAGACAACTCAACATCCCTCTGCAAATCAATACTGTGCACTATCGAAAAGCTGATCTGACTTCTAAATGGAGGTTGCGGTTGCCTGCCTCTCAGACATTGCGCATCATGCAAGGATAAGACAACAAGCTTTAGAGACATGGCGCACGGGTACCTTGCAGCGTGTGGAACAGGGCAAAAAGATGTCGTGAACGGCCGGGAGTGGCGGTGTCAGCTCGGAACACAGGCGCAGACGATTGCTTCGTGAGCGCGGGAATGACGGCACCAGGGCACCTCGTGTTCGCGACTCGCGATGGGCCGTGCTACGAGGTGTCACGACACGAGTACACAAGCGAACTCGGCTATGTGATGAACTTGGGTTTATCGAAGGCTTTCAGAGTATCATGAAGTAGCACAGAAGATGGCAACAACCCTCCATCCTTCAGCTAAAGAGCTGTTTTGATTACATCTCACTACCTCGGGGTATTGTCGGGTTGCCCTTTCGGAGAGCCCTGACACATTGCTATTCTCGTACTCCCCGTGTCCATGGCATCCCAGCCGTTTCAAGAATTCATCCGTGATGGAGGACCTCGCATGAACGACTGACTTTATGCTATGTTCTACCCCAGTGCTCTCAGCTGCACAATCGACAACGGCAGTTACTGTGACTTCGGCCTGTGGAAAATGTGTCGTATTGTCCTTGTTGCCAAACATGCAAATGGTAACAGTGATCTATGCCAATGCAAATACAGTAAACGCCAAGAGACCTATGCTAAACGCCAATGCCTTGTGTTCTGGTATAGTTGCCGTTGTACCCAAGACGCCGAGGAGCAAGCTCGCTTTTTACAAGCGAGTCGATATGGAAAAACGAACAAACCAAAATACCATGCCAACTTCTCGTCTATAATCAATCTGATGCTTATCATGCGCGAGACCTGCTGCACCGATTACTCTTGATCTTCTACTACAATGCGAACCACTTCGCTCCGACGACGCTCCTTGGTCAGATAGTCGCTAGCCACGTTACGCACTCGAGCGTGACACTCATGCGCTGCGCGATTGAGAAAGGGCACCTGAAGAGCTCCGCAAATTGCGACCAGAGCGGAACCCCACCAAGCTAAAGGCGTGAAGTGAAGCTCGAGAGAGAGGCCGTAGAGCAAACCGGCGATGGGACTTGCTACTGTACGGCAGGCAGCGCCGGTAGATGCAGCCAACCCGTTGATTCTTCCAAGATGCGATCTATCGGGCGTAGCTTCTTTGATCATGATCAGAAGTAGGGGGAAGGCGAGAATCGACGTCAAGTTCCGTACGGTCAAGCAAGCGAACAAACCAGGATAGACCAAGTTCTCAGGAAGAAGCTGTAAGAAAGGAACAATAAAGTATGCGATCGGATGTGCCAGTGTGACCATGAGAAGCAGACGCCATACGCCAAAGCAATCCGCCAGTAGAGGGAAGACGAAACCCTGGATCGCGAGCTGGATGATGCCGTTGAGGGAAAGAATAATGCCCACATTCTGGATGGGTATGCCAAGCCCACCTCCCAATGACGAAGGCGAAAGGTCGAGCGCGTTCATGTCATCGTCGGCGCGTTTGTCTTGGAGGAAGATGGGGAGCAAGTGATCGTATGTCATCTAGTATATAATTAGCCGGCTGTTCGTTCGTTGTGATGGACTAGGAGACTTACGGAATGGTACGTGAAGATCCCTAGGGCGACGACGAACATGATGACTGGACGTGTGAAGACCTTCTCGTTCGTCGGAGATTCTACCCAGTCGCCGTTAGAGCGCACCCGCCAGATCTCGTCGTGTTCGACTTCCACGGCGTTGAAGGTGCCGTAAGATTCCGCGGTCAGGTTTGCCGACGCATCGGCCGTCGCGCCTTGAGCTGGCAGAAGAGGTGTCTCTGCGACAGCCGCATCGTATTGTTCGAAGTAGCCTCGTGGCTGCTTGTCCGGGTGAGTCTCCTCTAGAAGGAAGTATGCCATGAAGATGGAGAGCAGAAGCAAGGAAGCGCAGATGATATTTGGAAGTAGGTAAGGGAACTTCGCAAAAAGACCCGTGGGGCTGAAGACAGATGGGAAGTTACGAGCAGGCTCAGCAAAGTATCCGCCAATCGACGCTGTTGTAGTTAGTACAAATAAGCAGGAGTCGATGGATTGATCTTGTCTTACGGCCAATGATAGTACCAATGCTCCAGACGAATGGCATGACCGCGTATGCCTTTGCTGTTTCTAGTTAGCAATGCCCGAAAGAAGTAATTGTGGTCACTTACGTTCATGCTCTGGTCGCTTGACCAACTCTCCAACCATGGTCTGGATGACGCCAATGTTGCCATTGAGTGCGCCGCCGATGATTCGTCCAAGGAGCGCGACCCAAAAGTTTGGAGCTAAGCCAACAAGTAGCAAAGAGGACATTGTCCCAAGACATCCAAGTATGACAACGGGTTTTCTACCTATACGATCGGAGACTGAGCCCCAATACATGCCTGAACATGCCTCGGCGAGCGAGAAGGCAGAGATGAGCAGACCGGCAAAGAACGGTGCGCTCGTTTCGGACCCAACTTGGAAGTTGGTGACGAGTTTCCATGCGTATGGGAGTATCGAAGTAAGGGCAATTGGCTCTGCGACTCGAACCAGCGCTGGAGTGTGCTGTCAGTGCGAGGCTCGGGCGAACAACAACTAGTGTCGGTGGCATGGGAAAACCATACCTAGGAGGCCGAGCTGAGCGGCGGGAAATTTTTCTTGGGTGGCTTCGGAGGCATCTTGAGGGCTTGTTCTTCGGTTCTTGGTAAGAAATGACATTCTGCAACCTGATTTGGTTCTTACGGCTTCGCCAACACGCAGTCGTCGTCTAGCTCGGGGGTGGCGTGCTATGTGAGTAGAGCTTTCTCTGCGTTTGGCCTTGAATGACCCAGTAATAAACAAATTCACGCACGATGGCCGGGAACAAAGGTTGTGCGATGGCGGTGTGTGGTACAAGAAGGCAGAGAGTAGAAGAGGGAAAGTTCTGGCACCTGGGTCGGTGCCACCTGCCGTCCAACCAGCGAGTGCACTAGAACGGGACGATCGGCAGTCCTTGGCGAGTATATTTCTCTGCTTTTCCATCTACACTCATCGGCCTGCTCAACACAAGACCTTCTCACTCGCGGTTGTCCATCTCGATATCTACTTGACTTTCACATACCCGCTGATTTTCCCGCAAAGATGCCGCTGGAGCGACATTGGGGAACCTTGTTGTTCTATTCCCCGGTGAGCCCCACAAGGCGCGGTGGCAATAGTCAAACGCTAAACTGGGAAGCGACTTAGTGTCAATGGCCGTTTCCGCGGCTCATTTGGTTCGGGTGCCATCAACTGATCATCTGTCGAACGTCATGTTTGCTATGACAATCGCTTGCCCATTTTTGAACCGTCTCCCGAAGTCTTGTCTCCAGGTACTCCACGGACCGGGTACCAAGCACAACATGGAAAGTCCAGACACCAAAACCACCTTCAGGCCCATGACGGCCAAGGACGAGCTAATTCTTGCCCTGCATTTGAGCCAATCAAGGCCCGGCCGTACCTTTTTGCAACACCATCAGCTTAGATGTAGTGCTACCGCCTCGATACGCTATCTTCTCGCGATAAGAAGTTTGCATGCAGTCTCCCAAAATCATTGCGCAGCCCTCGGAACTGTACCATCATGCGTTCCGGTGTCAACGCAGATGTGTGCACTTGCGAATGATCGCAGCTATCAGCCACTGAGTTCAACGGACAAGAAGCTCTCATCGCAATTCGTAAGTGTCGTGTTAACATTGATGAGACAGAAGAGAGGCTAGTCGATAGAATTCGCTACAATAACTACACGTTCTGAAAGCATTGAACTCCGTGCAACAGAAAGCATTACGACTGCGTGCTATTGTCGCGTGCCTTGTGCCGCCTCAGCCTTGGAGGGAGCTGCCTAGTCTCTAGCGCCCGCTTTGGTCCCACCTCCCTCCCGCTGACCACGGCATCACCTTGTCGACTGCATCTCTTACACTACTCCGACGAACTCTTTGATGACAGACATCTAGCACGATCAGCTAATACGTCACATCTAGCACCGCTTTTCGGGTGGCTCCAGGACGTTGCCAAGCGGCCAATTCCGGCACGAAGAATTTCTCGAAGACTTTTACGTGATATGTGGAGCTCGCGACGACACGGTCACGTCTCAGCGCAAACTATTACTCACGATGACCCACACTTCTCATCAAAGTTCAGGACCCTTTCTGCACTTGCACTACGCAGCGAGGATGTTTTCTGATGCCTATGCCGCATGTAGCCTCCTTGTGTTCATTCCCCCACAAACTACATTCAGCTATGGCAAGCTTGACAGCGGATCCATTGGAGGTGCGTCATGCTACCCAGAAATCAAGTCAATATGTGCATTAGTCGCCGGGAGGCGATCACCCAGGATCTGCTCGGCCACTAGCACACGTTACGTCTTAGGATGATGACCCAGAGGTCCGATACAGGAGGCGAGGAGATTCAAAAGACCCAGCGTCGCCGCTCCTCGCTGCCAAGCTATATTTCGTTCATTGCATCCTGAGACCCTGTAACACGTTGTTACGGTCAAATCTCAACCATGGGTCTAAAAGCCTTCCTAAAGAAAGAGCCCCAAGCGCCTTCCAACGGCGATGTTGCTTCTCACACGACCGCGTCGGATAAAGACGATATGGAGGCATACGGACACAACACCGACATAACGACCGGATGGACAGGCGACGGTTTTGCCGGAGCGACCGAGTATCCTAATGCTCCGGGAGAGAACTACCGTACACTGGGCCGATGGCGAGCGTGTGTGATCCTGATCACCATCGAAGTCGGAATCGGAATCCTCAGCTTGCCCTCCGCTTTAAAGACGCTCGGTCTGATCCCCGGAATTATCGCGATCCTTGGATTCGGTGGTCTGACGACCTATTGCGGTTACATCCTTCTTCAGTTCTACAGGAAATATCCCATGGTCACGAATCTGGTAGACTGCGCGTTGTACGTTGGAGGCAAGCCATTCGAGTGCTTCCTTGGAATAGCTTTCGTTTTCAACCTCGTTCTTATCTGCGCTTCGGCAAACATTACTTTGTCGGTCGCACTCAACACGCTTTCGCGGCATGCCCTCTGCACGGTGGCTTTCTTAGCTTTCCCTCATATTCTCTGTTGGCTGCTCTGCATCCCACGAAAGCTCTCTTTTGCAGCCGCAGCTAGCTGGGTCTGCACGATTTCCATCGTAGCTGCAGTTCTGATCGTCATGATCGCGCTTGGTGTCGGTGGACCACAAGCTCCGCCAGGTTTCGAGGCCAAGATAGTTCTGGTCGGAAAGCCTAGCTTTGTCGAGGCTGTCAATGCTCTGCTCAATGTTGCCTTTGCTTTCGCGGGGAACCAAAGCTTCATAAGCGTTATGGCCGAGATGCGAGACCCATCCAAGGACTTCGCCCCGGCTCTTTTCATGCAGAAGTCCTTCGAGGTCGTAATTTACATTGTGGTCGCCTGTGTCATCTACGGCCTCGCAGGCGATGCAGTTACATCTCCTGCGCTCGGTTCTGCGCCAGAGTTGACAGCTAAGATTGCCTACGGCATTCTTATCCCTTCCGTGCTGGGAACTGGCCTGATCATCGGTATTACTGCCATCAAGTTTATGGTACGATCTCTTCTCCCGCGAGAAAGAAGACAAAGCTAACGTCAATATAGTACATCACTCTCATGCGTAACATGAAACCCGAGGCTGTTAACGTACACAACGCCTTCACCTGGTCCCTTTGGATCGGCCTCGGTGCCCTCTTCTGGATCGTCTCCTTCGTCATCTCCAACGCGATACCCATATTCTCGTCCATCCTCAACATTTCGTCCGCCATCTTCATCTCGTGGTTCACCTTTGGGCTCACGAGCATTTTCTGGCTACATCTGAATTGGAAGACACAATGGAGTTCACCACGGAAGAAGGCGGTAGCCGCTGTCAACTACGGCATCATGATGGTGACGTTGTTCCTCATGATAGGAGGACTGTACACATCATTGAAGGCGCTTATTGACATCTATAATGATCCCAACAGCACATTGAACGGACCGTTCACTTGCGCGGATAATAGTATATTCTAGATGATATCACGTAGTCGAAACGATAGTCTATCACTTCACGCCCACGTCCTTGCTACACACGATCAACGGCGAGTTCTCCCCAGCCTGATTCCATATGTAATGGAGTTTGATTCGAGAAACCTCTTTGTGATGGACGCCGCTTCGAAAGAAGTACTGGCCACTCGCAGAGCGGAGGCATTTGCGGTTGTAACTCCAGGCCCTGCCCCAGAACGATTAGGCTGGTGGAGCCCTCACCTGTTAGTATGCGTGTGCTGTCCAAAACCACTGATGCCTAGCTCAATCACATCGCCGCATGCATACCTGCCTAGGTCAAGTACCGCGGATGGCAGACCGAATGGAGTTGTCGCGGCGACAAAATTCTCGCAACCCGAAATGAAGAGAAAGGACTAAGACAGTTCTGGTGAGGCCGATTCTGTGTGAATCGCGATGCGCACCACAATTACCAATACTACCGAGTAAGGAACCTTGGCGATAGGACAGAAAGCTGAGTCGGTAGAAGAGCCTCATTGAGCGGATGCCTGTTCCGATGGTAGAATGCCGTAGTGTCTCCGATGGAATTGCCGAAGGCATTTGTAGACCTTTTGTCTTGTGTATGCATAGCAGTACTTACTGCGCATTTAGTACGTGCATCTCCACTCAATGCCATGGGAGTATCTCAACGATCCCGTGTATTGTGTTCCGTGATCAAAGTGGGAAGGAGAGGATTTCTGGGGGCCAAAACACCGGGGTTAGTCTGAGCCCCAGACTCAGAAATGCCGTTGGGGTGTGCCTTTCCTGCACCCCACAGCATCGCCCAGATTGCCACGCTAAGAGGCATCTGGAGGTCTACGGGTAAACATCGGGTCGCATCTGTCCAATAGCAAACCTGATCGTGCGTGCTTCTCCACCTCCCGAGAAAACCAACGAGCGTCACGATGTCATGATCCCCGCAAAACTCCATCCTCGGTTCGGACCATTTTCATTTTTGGCGTTAGATACCGTCATACCCCGGATTCAAGGACGGAGCGGCAGATGTCTAGTCGCGCTGGACGACACGAACTTTATCCCCCGAGACGAGGCTATCGAGCGACAGCGAGCTAAGGCTTGTCACTATAAAGCATGGCTGAGGTTACCGATTGCTTGGGCTTGATCCCATCTGTCATCGCTTGTCAAGATGTTGCGCAACTCTCTAGCGGCCGCGCTGTTCCTCGGCCTAGCAGCTTCCGAAGCTGCTACGCCCACCGCTCAAACGAAGAACGGAACGTATGTCGGCGCACACTCTGCCGAGTATGATCAGGACTTCTTCTTGGGTATTCCGTATGCTCAACCGCCCGTTGGGAGTCTTCGCTTCAGAAACCCTGTCAGCCTCAATGCTACTTGGGATGAGGCAAAGCCGGCGACGCAGTACTCTACTGAGGTACATAATTTTGCCTGACTTATAAGACATGGCTAACAGACCTTGCAGTGCTACGGATATGGGTCTGATCAATGGAACTACCCGGTAAGTTTCGAACAAATCAGATAGCCAGTTTGCATGCACTGACCTGGTTTCCTTATGTTAGATATCGGAAGACTGCCTGTACCTGAACGTTATCCGCCCGGCAGGATGCAGTGCAGAGGACAAGCTTCCAGTCGCATTCTGGATTCATGGAGGCGGTTTCTTCCAAGGAGGAGGTATCGATCAGCGCTACAACATGTCCTTCACCGTGGAGAACGCCCAAAAGATTGGAAAGCCCATCATTGGTGTTACCATCAACTACCGACTATCTGCCTGGGGTTTCCTGAGTGGAAGTGAAGAAGTCAGGGACACTGGCAACCTCAATCTCGGCCTGAGGGATCAACGCCTAGCACTGCAATGGGTACAGGAGAACATTGAAGCTTTTGGAGGTACGTTCTTCTATTGGGACACTTGAAGCCCATGAATTGACAGGAAACAGGTGACCCAGAGAAAGTTACCATATACGGCGAGAGCGCTGGTGGAGCGTCTGTTGGCTTCCACTTGACAGCCTACAGTGGACGTGATGACAAGCTCTTCCGTGGTGCTATCTTGCAGAGTGGTAACCCTGTTAACTTCGGCCGTCTTCCCGACCCAGCAGTAGGATACGCCGACATGTACAACGAGCTCACTCGCCGAACAAACTGTGCAAACACCACCAGCCCACTCGAATGTCTTCGCCAGCTGCCCGCAGAGCAGCTCAACACTGCACTCAACACGACAACTCCGACTTTCAACATCACGAATTTCATGCCTTGTCTGGATGGTGACTTCATCCAGAAGCGCACTTCGCTCCAGCTCAACACAGGCGAGTTCGTTCATGTCCCAATTATTTCGGGTGCCAACTCGGATGAGGGCTCAGCCTTCAGCCCTGCGCCTGTGAACTCCACTGAGGATCTTCGCACCTTCATCATGGCAGACGGAGTTCCTGCTAACCTGACTGAGCAACTACTTGCAGCGTACCCTAACGATCCCTCGGTCAATGTGATTCAAAGCTTGGGTAACCTCACGCTGGGCCCTGAATGGGGACCGGAGTACCGCCGCTCAGCGTCATACTTTGGTGATCAGGTCTTCATCGCCAACCGCAGATTGACCTGCGAGACATGGGCTGCTGCCAACGTTTCTGCATACTGCTACCGTTTCAACGCCATCCCGGCTGGCCTTCCCGCCGCAGTCGGTGTCACGCATTTCCAGGAGGTTTCCTTCGTGTTCCTCAACCTACAGGGTGTCGGCTACCTCCCTGCTGCCGCTCCTCCGTTCGAGAACAAAACGGAGAGCTACCGCGATCTTTCCAGGTTCATGAACAGCAACTGGGTCAGCTTCATCCACGACCTTGATCCCAACGCGTGGAGGGAGACATACGACTACAACGGAACAGAGGCCATGTGGGCTCCGTACGATAACGCCAACCCAATGGACATGGTCTTCGACGCCAATGTCACAAGTTATTTGGAGCCGGACACATACAGGAAAGAGGGTATGGCGCTGATCAACGCCCATAACTACGATGTGTATGGTCGATGAGCAGCCACAAGCTGTAGTATATAGCGACTACCGTACATAACTGCACATAATCACTCCGAATCAAGAAACCATCTAATTATTTCTCATCCCATCTGAATTTGTCTGTCATATGCTCACATAGTATAGCGAGTCATCTTAAAGTGAAAGCCATTTGGTCGCCTACACCGACGCACACGCGTTACTGTGATCTTATACGAAGGACGCGTTAAATGTCTCGCCTGACGCCCTATAAGGAACTAGTACCTTGTCAAGCCTCAGCCTTGGCTACAGAGCTGGAAGTTGATCAACGTAAGCTGACCTGAGACGGATGAAAGTTGCTTCGCCTGCGCCACGGCCCGTTAGGCCTCCCGACTACCCTAAGGCAAACGTGCGAGTTCAGCTCAGCCATCATTTCCATAGGCAGAGACGAAGCCCCAAGCCATAACCCTCCGAAAAGTGGAGCAGGGATGTCTGCGACATACGCCCCGCGTCGCAAGATGGTCCATATTGGGCATACGCGACTCGACATGCGACTCCTGATTTAGAATTGCAAGCAGTGCGTACAGAAACAGGCGATGATGGAGGAGTATGATAATGGCAGTGCAAGCCACCAACTTGATTGTGTGTGCATCTCGAGCAGTACATATATGAGTAGATGGATGTGTCATTCAAGGCATGCTTATCTGAAGTCTTTCTTGAACGCTACAGCTATCTGACACGACAAACCTACTTTTACATTGAATCATAAATACCAAAACGCCAACAATGGGCGACACAGAACTCTGCATTAATATCTCACCTGAGTGTCCAGTCGATGCCACCATCTACGGTTACACACCAAACCTCGCGGCCAACACATTTTTCGCTGGTTTCTTCGGCATCGCCCTCATCGCGCAGCTTTACTTTGGTATTCGCCACAAGACATGGACTTATATGATCGGCGTGGGACTGGGATGTTTGGCAGAATGCCTTGGGTACATTGGCAGGATTATGCTCAATAGAAATCCTTGGGATAATACTGGATTCATTATTCAAATCGTCATGCGTAAGTGGCCTCACCAGCAGGCTTGGGAAGAAACTGTTGCTAACAGTTGAGGCAGTCATCTTTGCGCCTGCCTTCTTGGCTGCTGGTATCTATTTGACACTTAAGCATGTGGTCATCCAGTTTGGCGAGGAATGGAGCAGAGTCCGACCGAATTGGTACACCTATATCTTCATCGCTTGCGACATCTCTTCGTTGGTTATGCAGAGTGCGGGTGGCGCGCTGGCGGCCACGGCAGACCCGGGCGAGAGCATTGGAGACGTTGGGACGGATCTCATGATTGCGGGTATCATCTGGCAGGTTGTTGGTAAGTTTGAACTCGCATGTTTTACCATGTAAATCAGCTGACAACCGAATAGTACTGGTGATATTCGGCCTCCTCGTACTGGAGTATAGTATCCGCACCTACCACCGTCGCGATCAGCTCTCTGCTTCGGCGCTCAGCCTCTGGTCAAACAGACGCTTCCGATTCTTCTGCGGCGCAGTTGTAGTCGCATACACCGCTATATTCGTTCGATGCGTGTATCGCATTCCTGAACTGCTCGGAGGCTGGGGAGGTGAACTCATGCGTAACGAGATTGAGTTTATCATACTAGAGGGCGTGATGATTGCGATTACGGTGGCGGCGCAAACAGTATTCCACCCGGGACTGTGCTTCCCTGCGCTGGGCAATACCATGGGCAAGCAGAAGTATGTCAAGGCCGGTAAATCGGAGTCGGAAATCGAGATGATGACGCCGGGCGAGACGGCATCTAGGAGGGATATATCGTACGAGGCTTCTAGGGCATAGTGTGTGACTGAAAGAGGAGAGACGAGGACCGTTATGTAGTCAACGTCAAGATAGAGTCATGTTAGGATCCGGCGCAAACCATACAGGGAAATATCACATTTCGATAGGAATAGGTGTAGGAGCCAGGGCGACCAGTGATGCAATGCGCTTTCTTACTCGCGCTAGCGTCAAGCTAGGCCAGAACCGCGGCCTCTCACGAATTGATTGTCAACTTGCAGCATGCCATCTACTTGCTCCACAAACATAATCGCGTCATTCTTAGCTGCGTAGCTACAGTCGCGGGACTAGCTAGAGCAGGATGAACCCGCCCAACCCACCGAACGACGAATCTAGCGCTGGCAATGGCGCGCCAACTGCGATCGGCGGCGCAGCCACTATGTCCGCACCTCCGCATCCACATGCAGAACCGCAGTCGGCAGCACCCACTGCATGGTCGTCGCAAATGTCTACCTTTCCTACGACCAGCGGCGCCGCTGGAAGCCCCAACTTCGGCCAGTACTCGGCATCTACGGCAGCGATTCTCGAACGCATCCAAGGGAAGAACGGCCATGCCGCCGGCAGTGCTGCCTTTGAGGCGAAGCGGGCAGAGATCTTGCAGAGTTACGTGACTAGCGACAAACTGCCGACGCCCCCGCCAGCAGCGAGTACGGGGCGTAGAGGAAGAGGGGGACGAGTTAGCACACCAAGTGGACTGAAGACGGAAGTCGGCGCATCACCGTCGGGCCCTTCCTCTGGTCGCGGCTCTGGTAGAGGGCGAGGAAGGGGACGCGGTCGCGGTCGCGGAGGACGTGGAGGAAGAGGCGGCAAGCGGAAGCGATCTGAGAGCGACGAGGAGAGCAACGTCAGTCGCCGTGGAGTGCTCTGCGACTGTGTGCTGACATGATGTAGAACGACAACGACGACTCGGACGTCTCAGACTCGTACACCCCACTACCCACGCAAACCAAGTCCGGCCGAAGCGTCAACAAGCCCGTCACATTTGTACCCGTCATTCCAGAGCCAGTCAAGGGGGTGAAGCGGAGGAAGTCTACCAAGACACTACTTGCTGCGAAGTGCAAGACCTGTCATCGAGAGACCGACCCGTCAAACAACCGGATAGTATTTTGTGATGCGTGTAGTACCGCCTATCACCAATACTGCCACAACCCGCCCATTGATAATGAGGTCGTCACAGTGCTGGAGAAGGAGTGGCTGTGTGGGCCATGTATACGGGCCAAGCAGTCTGTCGTAGACGGCGCACAGGATCTGGTCGCTGCGGAGGATCTGACTATAGATGAGGTAGGTCTACGCGATCGCTCAAAACAGGCATCTTTGCCAGGACTTGGTATACTAATTCCAGCAGAAACGCGCATACTTCAATACCCTCCCACAGAATCAGCTAGTTGGCCTCCTCCTGACTGCTACGATCCGACATCCAGAACTACCCATATTCCCTCCGAACGTAAAGAGCCTTATACCCGAGACCTCAGCCATCAAGTCAGAAACGCCGCAACAACAGCCCTTATCCACCCAACACTACACCAACTACCAACCCCCACCATCCTTTAATCTTGGTCAGATATCTTCGACTCCAAACGGCCACACAACTACAAGCCACACACCGCAGTTCTCATCACATTCCCATTCCGAGATGGACGCTGCAGAAGCACAACTCCTCGGCGAGAGCAGCCACCAGCCGCGCACAACAATAGATCTCGCAGGCAACCAGTACGAAGAAGACGACGGCTACGACACCGACCCACCCGCACATTACCCCAAAGCCGGCAACGGTCTCGCACGAACACTACGGCCAGAGAGCGAAGATCTTAATTGGCTTGTCGACGACAATTTTGAGGTGTTCAGCCATAGTTACCAGGGGGACGGAACGGGACTGGGTGCTGATGGCACGCTGGATGGCATGGGAGATGGACAGAAAGTAGTTTAGGATGCTGCTGGAGAAGCCTCTGCTAAGGATGCTGGTGATGACGAGCTGTCAGATATGGATAGCGAGGATGTGGAGCGCTTGGTCGCTTTCACCAAGGGCAAAGAGCAACCTTCACTAAGGGACCTCTTGACGCAGCGAAAGTGAAGCTCGAGATGCATGCATACAGTAATACAACTCAGCGTTCTGGTCAGTCACCTTGCAATTGAATAGTTCAGACGAAGGAAAGTTCCTTGTATTATCCAGGAAAATTAAACATAAAGCGTGGTATCTCGAGAAGTATAGCTAAGCAAGAACCGGGCCTAAAACGGCCATAGTAATCCAAACGCCAACCCGTGCATAACCTCGTTACGAAGCCATTAACGTCGTCACTCATTCATCGTCGATGCCGTATCCCCCCAACGTGCTTTCAGGATCTTGCCACTTCTTGCTCTTCAGAATCCTCATCTTCTTGATCGGACTCGCAGAGCGCTGCATCGTCTCGCGCTCACTGGCCTCTAATCTGGCCCGGAGCATCTCGTTTTCTCGTTCCAGTTCGTCGACCCGGTCGCGGAGTTCTGGGTCTGGGTCTTCGTACACCTTGATCTCTTGCTTCATCTGTGCCTTGGTCGCTCGGATGACGACGTCGATCTTGGAGTCGATGTGTGCTTGCTGGTTGTCTTGTTCGTTGTCCAGTGCCGTCTGCCATCTTCGGCGTTCTTGTTCGACGGCAGCTTCCATCTCGAGATAGCATTCGTCGCGGATCTCTTGCTCGAGGTCGACCATGTGATCTTCGGCTGCGGCCCAGGAAGATTCAGCTGCTTTCCTGCGAGCTGTCTCCTCGGTGAGACGGAGTGCGAAGATTTCGATTTCCGAGGTAAGACGTGCGATTTCGGCGTTGGCATATTCAAGCTCTTCCATTACAGCCGAGGGTGTTGTGCGGCCTGAAGGGGTTGCGCGTCCCGAGGAGGCTGTACCAGGGCGCTTGAGAGGTACACCGATTGTGTCAGAGGTGGATGGCATGCGTGGCACGGTAACCTCGCGAGCGAGAGCGGAGTAGCGGAGAATCTGCGACGTGGCGTTGTAGTCGCCTTTGGGATCTGCCGTCACGACCATGATGGACTTTTGAGGCTGACGGTGCGATTGTGCTTGACGGGCGGAGGCAGGGAACGAATTTGAGAAGAGAAGCTCCGTGAGTTTGCACTGGCGGAAGGGCACAATGTTCTGAGAGTATGTTAGTTGAAGTAATGATGAGACGGGTAGATATACGCACCTTTGAGCCGCCTTGGTTGTCTGACTGCATCTGCATACACTGACCTAGATACATGAGGGACTCATTGATCTTGCCAGCTTCCGCAAGCGTCTCACCCGCGGTCTTAGCATTTCGGGCACGCTCTGAACCTGCCAGGTCGACGATGGTAAGGTTACTGCTGGACCATGGACCTTGGCGTTCTGCGTCTCTCTTCTTGATCTCAATGTGGAAGAAGCCATGACTCCGCGAGCTGACAGCATTGCTTCCCGTGCCAGTGACCTTGCGCTCCATAAGACCTGTTTCCAGCACCATCATAGCTTCCTCGAAGCTTCCGCATATGATCTTGGTGAGACCAGCGACGACCTTTCGATCTGGGCTCTTCTCGGTGCTCTTGAAGAGGAGCGCCCTGCGCTTCACGTTTGGCTGTTTGTTCTTCAAGGCGTTTCCGCTCAACAGGTCGAAGATGCGGTCGTTGTAGACTTCGTACATTGACATGACGATCGCGTATTCTACGCTCGGGTCTGTGGGTATCTGGATATCGGCCACCGAGGGTGATTGTGGGAGTGTAGACGGACGTGGCATTTTGTTTGACTTGTATGTGCTTCCTGTGGAGAATATACTACAATCGTATTGTTCCATTAGCACGCGTTCCTCAAATTCTGCATTCTCCAGTATTAAATGGGATCGGACTTACTGCCACGGGGGTTTGCGCTCGTGAATAGCGACCCGACTGGTTGTTGTCGCCATACATATTTTCGATGTATGCGGTCGCAGTGTACATTTGTGCTTCTGACACATCTGCATTTGCGAGCGAGGAGTACGCCGGGGCGCCATAGAGGGATTGTACGAGCTGCTCGTCGCATGCTTGGAAAATGACGTCCAGTGTCATCTGAACAAGGCCGCGCTGGGATTTGGTGCCGAGGATCGTGTGACTCTGTGATCGCATTAATGCCTGGTATGCAGAATTGTAGGCGCTGTCCAAGATTTGCATACCTTTCCAGAGCCAGTGCAACCCAGCGTTGCAAGAAGTCCATCTCGGCCGTGGTGGCCTGGCGCGCCCATGACACCCTCAATCATGGGAACCACACCAGTGCCCTTGAATAGATCCATTTGTCGCGCATCTTCCTCGAAGACTTGCGTGAAAGCAAACCGTTCAACAGCGCGCTTGCGTTTGTCTTGGCTTGGCGGTTGTATCGTTATATGAGTTGGATGATGGTTCTCGCTCTCTTCGACGCTGAGGAAGCGCGCACTTCCCGAGTTGGAAGGGCGCAGGCGCAGAAAGACATCGAATAGCGAACTTGAGGGTCGTGGTGGCGGCTCCATTGTGACTATGTTTTGTTTCTGGTTTGGCGATGCAGGCAAAATGTCAGTCAACGTTGGTGTACCAGATGCATGTGGAGCCGCTCGTGCACGCGCCCGTGTCGGTCAACATGGCCAGAACGCCGTTGCCCTGGACAACCGTCGCGTCGCCCATGACACGCTGTGACGTAACGCCATGCGATCGCGCGGGGATGCGGAGAGAACAAAGAAGCTCGCTCTTTAGTCTCACCAGCACTACCTAGGTACTTGACGATCTACCAGCTCACCAACCTAAAATAGTGCAAATTCATTTCCTCCAATATGGACAGCCTCCCAGCCGAAATACTTCTCTGCATCGCCGAGTGCAGCACCACCCTGCCAGAATTGCTTGAGTACAGACGCATCTCGCGCCGTTTCAAGCAAGCTGTCGACGACAAATGCAAATCTCACGCTTTGTACCTGCTGCATCGCAGACCCTGTCCGCCAGCTGTTGACGACGCACTACTTGCTATCCGCCTGAAACGTATACCCTGGGAATCATGCTGCCATTACGACCACGCACAGGGCGATTATTCTTTCTACCCTTCGAAAGACTTCTTTGACGCGGTTCTGGATGAGACCGAGGTGCCGCCAGGCTGTCCCTCTATTCCAGCCGCAACCTGGATGGAGGAGATCCACGCCGTCATGGATCTGTATCTGCTGGTATTAGCTTACTTGTCCACCAGTATGCATTGTCCCACGAATAATCCATGGGTCTATCCTGGCGGCACCGAGCTTTTATCCATTGACAAGGACTACGAATGGCCAAAGCCCCAAACTGAAGCCATTATTCGGTCATATTTTCGCAACTTCGTCTTCACAACTGTATACGCACCACGTGTTTTTGTTGAGCCTTTCGCTGCCGTAGCAGCTATGATTGAAGACACTCCAAGATTAGATTATGCTGTTGCAGAGGACAGAAGACACAATATAGTGTCCGAGGAATTCGCGAAATACCCCGTCTTAGAGAGCTTGCGACTTCCTTTGGAGGATAGACCTCGACATCATCCGGTCTTTGATGGCTTTTTTGAGTGGTTGTACGCACAGTGCAGCCCTCTCGAATTTCTCGTTCTACCTGATTCTTTCCAAGATCCAGCAATGGATGGTCATCCAAGTGCCTCCCTAACGAGGAGTTTTCCAGGAGAAGAACGCCATCAGCTTGCCCTAATGCAGATCTGGAAGATACACCAACTCAGGGAGGATCGAGGTTGGGGTAGCAAACCAGAAGACGGGTATTATGTTGCAGCTCGCTTCAACCCGATCCAGCCTGAACTCACCAGTTCCACTATCGTCTATCGCCGGTTGCTTCACGTTTCGGTTTGGTCTGAGCCTCAGATCATCATCAACGATTGGGTACAAGAGGATGCATATTCACTGGTGTTAAGAGATCCCGGGAAGGAAGAATATCACTTCACTGAAAACGTTTTAGGACTTCACAGGTTCAATGCTTTGGGCAGGATACTTGAAGCTGAACTCAAGAACAGATTTGGCTTAAGATATAAGTCTGAATATGCGGAATATCTGGATATTGACTGTGGCATATTAGACCCAAGACCTGAGCTGGAGCAGTGGGTATAAGTTATGCAACAACTCCTTCACTGCGTAAATTGGCCACTTCTTCTTGACTCATCCCCAGTGTGTTACCGAGTATCTCGTTTGTATGCTGGCCTAATGTGGGTGGAGGTAGTCGTATGCCTGGAGTCGAGTCTGACCATTTCACGGGCGTGTTGACTAGTTTGATCGGTCCACATGCTGGGTGCTCGATTTCTTTGACCATGTCTCTTGCGAGCACTACTCCAGATTAGCATCGACAAGAAACACTTGTTCCGGCAGGGATAATATACATACCGTGCTCGTGGTTCAAGGTATCCTGAACATCGTTGATAGCAGCGTACGCTGGAATTGTTAGCTAAGAACTCCAAGGCATACCGTTGGTACTTACGCATTCCACTTCCCTCGAGCACGTCGAGCAATTCCTGCGTAGTTTTCTTCTTCGTCTCCGTCTCAATCAACTCCTCTAGCTCGTCTCTATGCTGCACCCTCAACGCGTTCGTTTTGAACCTCTCATCGAGAATCCATTCGGGCCTTTCCAACCTGTTGCACAAAACTCCATACAACCTATCGTTTCCACCTCCGAGCAAAATGTCTCCATCTGCCGTTTTGAACGCCTTGTACGGTACAATTGATGGATGCGAAGTTCCCCAGCGTCCAGTGTCGCGTTTTCCGCTAATGAGAGTGGAGCTGGCAATATTGGCCAGGGTGGCAACTTGACAGTCTGATAACGCGACGTCGATGTGTTGGCCCTTGGAATTTGGGTTTCTGAGGCGCCGGAAGAGAGCTGCCATGATGGAGTTGGAGGTGTAGAGACCGGTTGTCAAATCGGTTACTGCTACGCCGACCTTAACGGGTGGGCCATCGCGGGTTCCGGTGATGTGCATTAGGCCAAATTCGCTGGTTTGTATTAGCATTGACATGGTGTTAACAAACTGAGTCGGGAGATGTACGCTTCAACCATGACGTCGTAACCTGCTCTGTTTCTGTATGGCCCTGTTTGGCCGTAACCTGTGATGCTGGCGTAGATAATTCCGGGGTTGATCTTTGACACGGTATCATAGTCCATAGCGTACTTTGCTAGAGAGCCTGGAAGGTAATTCTCGACAAGAACATCGCATTCTTTCACCAGGCGATGCAAAATGTCTACACCAGCTGGGTGCTGGAAAGACAGGCCTATCGATCGCTTGTTACGGTTGACCTATTCTTAGTGAGCCATAGAAGAGACGTGATTACGGTGTTGTACTAACACCCAAATAGTAAGCACTCTCTCCTGGCCCTTCTTGGTTATCGGTGTACTTCGCGTAAGGTGGTCCCCATGCTCGTGTGTCATCTGGCCAAATCAATCAGTTTGAAAGGTAACCTTTGAGCTTGAGATTTCGTCTTGCTCACCTCCTCTTGTCGGATGTTCAATCTTGATCACGTCTGCTCTAACACAATGTCAATTCCTGGGTCTTTAATCTCGCCAACCTCGGTTGGGCCGTACAGGGTCATCCATCGCATACCCAAGATCACCCAAAATTTGCGTGCAATATGGCTACTAGAAGTCAGTCGAGTTTCTCGCGAGTTCATGAATCATGACTCACTCCAGCAAGTACTCTTGTCATATCAAGCACTTTAATGCCGGCTAGAGGCAGGTTGGACGCATCTGCATTCGATGCCTCAGTTGCTAGCCGTCGAACATGGCTGGGTCGTGCCCAATTGGACCGTGAACATGTCACCGTCGCCTGGAAAGCGCGTCTCGAGCTTCTCAGCAACATGTTTGCCATTTCGATGTGGTGTATGTAGAATCACGATATGTGCCGGGTAACGGAATGCTTCCACGGCATACCTATTCCCGACGATGGGCTAGCTCCAGTTCGGTGATCCGAGGCTCATCGCTAGCTGCAGAACCCCACCAAGTCTCTCTCTCCAATTACCCACCCCACCATGTTTACTGGTCTCGTTGAAACCATTGGCAGTAAGCTACCATGCATTGTCTTTCCTGCGCGGCTCGGCTGACGATGGCTAGCTGTTGCCGCTCTTGAGAAGCTCGACCAGACGGCCTCGGGAGGCGGCGGCACATCGTTGACCATCTCCGGATGTGAGGACATACTGGGGGACGCCCATCTGGGCGACAGTATCAGCGTCAATGGTACGTTGGCGCTACTATACTTCATCTCGTGGTCTAATCCAACCAGGCACCTGTCTCACCGTCACGGAATTCACCAAGTCATCGTTCAAGATCGGATGCGCTCCCGAAACCCTCCGACGGACAAATTTGGGGTCGCTGAAGGAGGGCTCCAATGTCAACCTAGAGCGCGCAGTCTCTGCCAACACCCGCATGGGCGGTCACTTCGTGCAAGGACATGTCGACACGATCGCCACCATCGAGTCGGTAACACCGGACGGCAACGCGCTTACCTTCCGCTTCAAGCCTCGCGATACATCGGTCCTGCGATACATAGTCGAGAAGGGTTACGTCACAATCGATGGGGCTAGCTTGACGGTTACAAAGGTGCAGGATGGTCCTGAGGGTTGGTGGGAGGTCATGTTGATTGCCTACACGCAAGAGAAAGTCGTCACGGCAAGCAAGAAGCCGGGCGAGGACGTCAATGTCGAGGTCGACCAAGTCGGCAAATACGTCGAGAAGAGCGTAGCTGGATACTTTGAAGGGTCATCGAATGGAGAATTCGCGATACTGGAGAAGATGGTTTCGAAGCTGGTGGACGAGAGGCTGAAGGCTCTTGGAAAGTGATGGACACATGCTGGACCATCGGCTGCTACGCGTACGCGCACGCGCAGGCAGGCTCTCAGCGCCAAGATCGAGGGTTTGCCGTCAATGCCGTAGAAGTCATGGCCCCACATTAGTAACCAACCAAAACAAATCATTCAACTTCAGTTATATGGTTGCCTCGAAAGGGGCTCATGGGTGAGACTTGCAGCCCCATTGCGGTGGTGGCTTGGACAGAGTGAGGCGCAGCCTTGGTTTCGTCCAATACATATATATCTACATGTCTATCCCATCATTTCACAAGACACTCCCTACTATTCCACACCTACACATTAAAGGGCGAGCAGATTGATACTCATGATCTGAGGCTCGTCGTTGATGCTTAGTTCGAGTGTGGCGGCTCTCACATCGATCCCCTCATGGTTGATAGTTGTCAAGAGGCATATCGTCGCACAGTCCGGAGTGGCGGCTTCGAATGTCTCCTCAACCGTTGAACAATCATTGCTTACATTGCAGGACTAGTCCATGCCATAGTGGAGAGAGTTAGGCAGAACACCATGCCGCGGCGCCGACATGCAGACCAACGATGTCATTAGGCCGAAAGCTCTGGACATTTCGAAACTTTTTGTGCTGCGAGCCGGTATGATAGGAATGATCTTCCACTGACAGCGCAGACGTGCAGCTATCGGGGTGGCGTCTCCGCCTGTCCAGAACAGCATCTTGCCCAGCGGTGCAGCGCAATTGCATGCCGCAGGCTGGCCGGCACTAGCAGATTCTAACTCCAGAAGATTGGGGGCCAAACTGATTGCACAGAAAAATTGTGTGAAAGAGGAAGCGAAGACCGCGGGTTACATGCAGGCTTGGTAAGGGATTCTGTCGGCATAGGTCATTGGCGTTTCTCACCGGCGTGCTGCTGCATAAACACGTCAAGAGCCGACCCTCTTCAAGCGCGCATGCCACCAGACGTCTACCCCAGACGCTCATCTCGTAGCGCCATCGCTTGAGCGATTTCTCTTCCCTTTCCCCGCCGATTCCCAGGCGTCTAAAGCATGCGTTGCTACTAAACCTTTGTCTTCGGCTATCTATCCCCGGTACGCACCTGTCATGGACTGGCGACTACTCGACTACGCCAAGGAAGCTGAGGAGACCGCAACGGGCCTACTCTCGTTCGAGAGTGAGATCCCCCAATATCGCAAAGACGTCAGGAGCCATATCGCAGAGTTGTTTGCCATATCGCACGCTCTACTGGAGCTGAACGAGGCGCTGGAGTCGTCCCGCTATGGCAGATATGCAGGCTTCATACGAACGGACCTAGAGGTTTGCCTCCCGAGCTTAGGGCACACGCTTGACGATGTTCAAGAAATATTCACCAGGTCCAAAAAGAGCAGGCACGCTGCGCCCGGTGCTTTTCCCGGCACACCACCGTACGCACTCATCTGGGAAGATGCGCTTACGGATTTCACGGCGGAAGGCATGTCCTTACCCAAAAGATTCGAGATTGTTAGGACATATCTACAGTGCATGCACGATGCTCTGAAGGGGTAAATAATGTTAGCAACATGTTCAACACCATGGCTGACTGGATCCAGAAACGAAGATGAGGCCGAATTGGCTAAATTCAAGGTCACACTGGCCAGGCTGCTCAAGAAGCAGAAGCCAACGCCGATTGAATCTTACTTTAGTAAGCTCTCGGTACACGGCCATGGGAAGGGTGGTGCTAGAACACCAAAGCCGCCTTCTCCCAAGGTGTCTAGACCGAAGATACACCAACACCCCACGTATCCGGCAGCCCAGTACGGGTACCAGCCAGCCCCGCTACCGCTACCTCATCGATCTCATATTGCACCAACGTGGGGAGGCATAGGGGACATACCGTATATTCCTCCCCCAGTGCCAGAAATCCCTCAGTCGCCCACGTATTCGTCCGCATCATCACAGGCCTACTCGAACCAATCGACGGACTCAGAGCCAGTCGCTCATTGGGCAATGAAGATCTTCGATGGACGCCACGGCTCTACACCATCTCAAAGCCCCTCGGAGCCTACTGAGTGCTTCGGGAGGGATGAACCAAGAGTGATTGAGCTGTTAGACACCGATGGCTTTGAAAAGATCTTGGAACTACCATTCGAAGCAACTAATGTCTGGGTGAGAATATACTGGAGGGCCGACGACAACCGTGCACGGATACTCTTCCTTACTATAGATCACAATGGCAACCGTGTGAGGTACCAGGTCCCAATCACCGCATTAGCATTACGGCGCGCAGGATCGTGCTTGCAGCTCTGTCGCATCAATCGTCAAGATGGTCAACTTGACCTGTGGGCTAGACTACGCTTCCCTCTATACGAACGTAGGTACATTTGAGTCGCTCCTGCAAACACCTTCTAATGTTCCCTCAGGTATGGTACTTTTCTATTGTACCGCCATAGCTATGAAGCGCCAGGACCATACCCCCATTGCAGAGGGGCTCGAGGATGTTTTCCTGCCTGGAGAAAGGATTATGTTTGCAGGGTAAGTGATTGTTACTAGCCTCTTGTTCCATGCTGACGCTTCTCAGTGAGACTGTTGACGGCAAGTATCTCCACGTCTTCCGCGTCAAATACGATACGGACTCGGGCTGTGTACGGTTCGAAGCTACTGCTCGTCGCGGGCCTATGAAGGACATACCTATCTGGACGGCATTCGTCACGCCATATGTTGGACGCAGTGACTGGATGAAGCGCGTCGGTCCAGAAACAATCCAGTTCGAGAAGCTGCATCCGTATGTCTTCAGTGATAGCTACAGGCTACCCAAAGGCCCTACGGGCAAGTACCGGTTGAGCTTTACTTCACCAGAAGGTATTTGAATCCCCATAACCTATATGTGTCCGATGCTGATACATAAATTAGACGCGAAACAGTTCAAAGAAAACTTTTACCGCATGAGAGTCCGGTAGGCTTCCTGACGAGCTCAATAGAGCAATCCCGTTCGACCAAAATGCACGACACTCTCCTAATGTATAACGACATCACGATCAAAATCTATTAACGACTTTACGACATAACGCAAACAAAACTCTCACGCCGTAACGACGAGGGCGGATTCTGCTTTTGGCACGATATACCCCTCTCACTACTTTCTCTGATTGGATGTTGCAAATTGACACTATGCTGTTCTTGATGCTGTATTTGTCTTGAAGACTTGGCCTTTGTTTATCGCACGTAGTGTAATGGTAAAGAAAATTGGTTGCATGAACCTTGGGATCGACAGCAAAAAAAGTGAACTTCTTCGTGTCACGCCTCTTTGGGCCTAGCGTCCAAAGTCTCAGATGCCCCGCTTCCCACCGAGATTGCCCTGGTGAGACCCTGGACCGAGCGAGTCTGTGCTTGGTACTACCAAAACCAAAATTTCCCTATCCTACTTGGACCGGAGCAACGCCAGTCTCTCCTCCTCTACTTTCAACCGCTCACACCTCCTCTTCTCCTCACACTCTACTCTCAATATGGCGAACCAGCAAGAAGCCGGAAAGAAGGACCCCCTCACAGGCATGGCGCACTCTGAGGCGCATTACTTCAACAGGTAGGCATCATCGAGGGTCCAGATATACGTAGAGTTTCGCTAACATTATTGTGTAGCTACAACCACCATGGTCCGTACAAACACACTCTGATGAGGTGAACGATACTAATGCGCGAATACAGGTATCCACGAGGAGATGCTGGTACAATTGCCCCTCCCTACCATTACCTTTACTACGACGACTAACAATGCGCTTTAGAAAGATGAAGTCCGAACCAAGAGCTACCGCGACGCTATCTACCAGAACCCTCACCTGTTCAAGGACAAGGTCGTCCTCGATGTCGGATGCGGCACATCCATCCTGAGCATGTATGCGCTCCCCCCCCCTCCATATACCACACACGAGCACGCGCTGATATGCTGGCTATAGGTTCGCCGTAAAGGCCGGCGCAAAGCACGTCATTGGTGTTGACATGTCAACCATCATCGACAAGGCGAAGGAGATCGTCGAGGTCAACGGCATGTCGGACAAGATCACCCTGCTACAG